AAAACAGGTTCTAAAAGTTGGTTGTAAACTACATGAGACTATAATTATTATTTCCTTAAAGATTTTAAATCTAAACTATAAGCATGTAAATTATGTGTGTCCTGATTTGCCAATTCGGATATTTATTTATATCTGTACAAATAAATAAAATTGAAGTGTCTGTTTGTAATGTCAAAATAATAGGTTCTTTGCACGATACCTATGCCTAAAAACCAGTTTAGAATATTTTTGTCTGTCTGTCTGTTTGCTCAGAGTTATCTTCAAAACGGCTGTAGCTGTCTATATAAGGAGTAACTTAAGCAATATTTCTTCTCTAAGAAAACCCTATAAAATTTGCCTGGTCCGGGCACCAGCTAGTAGTGAATAAAATACATAGGTGTACGACGATAAAATCCACAATGGCTTGAGTTGTTAGAGCTTTTGTCTTTTGGCCAATGAAGCCCTTTAAAGAAAGGGTACATCGCCCATGCCCTGGGGGTTTCCTGATAGACTAGAACCTATTAAAACACACTACTCTAACTTGTACGTACATGTACATAGGTTTTCTTGGACATTTCGCTTCGCTTATAATTGCTTGCCTATTTTGTAAGTATAAAGTTCACGAATAAACTAACGAACAGACGTGATAGTAATTTTAACAAGAAAATAGTAAAGTCCACAATCAACGCTATTGAAGAAATAATTTTTGTAACGTATTGAATAATAATATATATATTTTATATTAAATATATTATTATTCAATACGTTACAAAAATAATATAATGACATAATTATACTTGTGTTGTTCACAATAATACTTTTAATGATTCAGGTAAAGTTACTATGTAAGTGAATACAAATGGGCGGCTTAAGTGTTAGAATCATCATGGCCAACCAGTATTGGTGCGGTAACATCGTGTTAAACGGATATTTGATATGTCAATAATGAATAGCGACCTTTACAATAAAATAATATTGAATTCCAAATAGTCTGTAGGACAGTGTTTTTTTTTATGATTCGGACCTAAAAGAACTCCTTCGTTTCTGAACCGATTTAGAAAATGCTTTTTTTTGGGAGTCATTTTATATTTTCCATTTGGTCCCCTGCTTTGACGTAAAACACTACCCCTTAGGGTGGTAAATTAATTCATCATGATGCACATTGAAGACTGATACTTTTTTAAAGTTTTAAAATAATAGAAAAAACTAATTATGATCAGCCCAGCTCTTTTAAGTGTAAATTATTAAAGCTTTTTTGCTCTGTTCTCGATTTCAGTTTTAATTAACAGCCGCTTAATGGTGTCATCTGTTTCAAAACAGCGATGACGTCATATGCAATTTTATATTAAATATATTATTATTCAATACGTTACAAAAATAATATAATGACATAATTATACTTGTGTTGTTCACAATAATACTTTTAATGATTCAGGTAAAGTTACTATGTAAGTGAATACAAATGGGCGGCTTAAGTGTTAGAATCATCATGGCCAACCAGTATTGGTGCGGTAACATCGTGTTAAACGGATATTTGATATGTCAATAATGAATAGCGACCTTTACAATAAAATAATATTGAATTCCAAATAGTCTGTAGGACAGTGTTTTTTTTTATGATTCGGACCTAAAAGAACTCCTTCGTTTCTGAACCGATTTAGAAAATGCTTTTTTTTGGGAGTCATTTTATATTTTCCATTTGGTCCCCTGCTTTGACGTAAAACACTACCCCTTAGGGTGGTAAATTAATTCATCATGATGCACATTGAAGACTGATACTTTTTTAAAGTTTTAAAATAATAGAAAAAACTAATTATGATCAGCCCAGCTCTTTTAAGTGTAAATTATTAAAGCTTTTTTGCTCTGTTCTCGATTTCAGTTTTAATTAACAGCCGCTTAATGGTGTCATCTGTTTCAAAACAGCGATGACGTCATATGCAATGCAGAGAGCCGGTCGAATGAGGGCCAGTCCACAAGTTAATGTTTTTTTAATTGTTTCAAAGATTTACTAGGAACGATACTTCACATTTTCTTACTAGATAGTGGTTATCGAGTCGTTTGGTCCCCTAGTGGGACAATAAAACGAAGCTTGGCTACTTTTTTTTTATGTTAGAGGGGGCAGACGAGCAGACGGGTCACCTGATGGAAAGTGAATATCGCCGCCCATGAACGTCTGCAACTCAGGAGTCACAAACACGTTGCCGGCCTTTTAGGAAGGAGTACGCTCTTTTCTTGAAGGTTTGAAGGTCGTATAGGTCCGAAAATACCGCAGACGATAACCCGTTCCACAGATTGGTTGTTACTTTTATAATGAACTGTCAAAATTAAATTAAAATCAATTTCAAGAATCCCATTTCAAAAAAAACCTGCTTCTATTCATTTTTCTATTTTTTCTTCGGTCAGTACCGGACCTATTACAAACAATTTGAAATAGAATTTAGCAAAACCAGTCCAGCCGTTCCGGAGTAAAGCGCTTACAGACAAATAATTTCTTTTATGTATACAGACCATGTTTACAGTAACTAAATACGTAGTATAACAAAAGAACAGTAGAAAGAGCGTTAAGCCTCGTACACGCGGTGATCTCTTATCAGTAAATACCACAAGGTGTTGTTCAAACTGTTGAGTCGTATTTAAATATACGTGGAGGTACTCCGCTCCTTTGTGTGCAATCACGAGATTTTCACACACGTTTACTTTACAATTGTATAAATGTTTAATATACAAATGGCAGTCGCAAATAAGAAAAAAAAATAAGTTGTTTAATCACGCCCTTGTCTGTCAACGTGGGGTCACTAAGGTCGGCGCAATATTTGTTTTTAGATACTATCAGACGTCATCTGGTTTGTGTATTATTTTTAAGTGCTTTTCGTTATTTTTGTCATTTTAAGTAAGTACTGTATGAAGGTCAATTCTCGGGATGAAAATTAGTTCAAAATTCTGAGCGGAGTACCCGTATACATACATAATTTACAAATAATGAAAAGCCAATGTTTCAAATCGGAGTTATTTCAGGTATTTGTATTATGAACCTAAAACTGTAAAACGCTCTTTTCTGTCCCTTGTGTCTTCGTACAAACTTTCTAATTCTTATCAATAAATTACTGGAGATCACAATGAAACTATATGTACTTAAAAACTATAAGTATCTTCAAAACAAAGTTTATGGAGGCTACACAGTATATTATAAGCAACTAATGCAGATGGATCGATTTGAGCCGGCGTCCGGGTCAAAAAACCTAAATTTTAAGTTTCAGTTTAAGGATTTTTTTCAGGGCTGTAAGCGCACACAGACCGATGCCTATAGTTGTTGTATAACAGGTACACAAGACAATTTATTAAGGAAGTGAGCAAAATTGAATCAGACAAAAAAAATGACCTTAAGGCAATTATGCTGAAAAAAGTTTTCCTCATTGTGGATTACGACTACGACTCGGTTTTGCCACGAACAGAACTTCTTTAGCGTATTAAAAAAGGTACTGATCTTCTGTTAAATTTCTTTTCGTTTTTTAAAAAGGTAAATCCCACATTAGGAATATATGCTGTTTCGCGGGGGACTTTACAAACATACATGAAACGGATACAAAGAACATTCAGACTCAGAACAACAATTTGTGGATTACACAAAGTGTCGTCCCACAACATAGCGTAGTAGTGAGCAGCGTGGCGTCATTCAGTCAATTCTTCTATAATTATTATTTTACGGAACCACTAGACAAAACTATTAACATCTATAGCAAAGTTATTCCCTAGTAGATTTATTTGATTTAGTTGCAAACATCAGTTTTAATGTCTCTTAAATGTTGAGTTTTGTCTTTGTGATGCTTAACAAATATGTCAACAGAATCCCGTGTGCCCGTTCTAAATATTAGTTCATAGGTTTGTTAGAAACACCTAAGTTTTTATTTTTAATTATATAATTTGATCATCATCATCACCGCCAGTCCACTACTGGACATAGGCCTCTCCCATTGCACGCCACTTAGATCGATTTTGGGCTTCTCGCATGCACCTCTGATACTAGTTGAAAAATATTTGTTCTTTTATCAAATAACCATTTCTGGTAATCGGTTTGTTCATTAGATATTATATGTTATTTCGGGGTTTTTTTCATACTGATAGCTGACGCAAGTTTCAATTTACTAACATAAAAACATTCTCAAATACAATAATTCCACTGTATGAACACAGGCATAAGGCATACAGGGCTTGCTGAATAGTTGTCCGATTATGTCATAGGTATGGACAGTAGCGTGCTGATTCCAGTAGATTTGGATGTGTTACTAACTATAAGGACATGTTATCAACCAAGCTATATACATTTTTATTTGCTTGATTAGATGTTAATATCGATAAGTGTCTGCTAGGACGACACGTTATTAATGATGAAACTGAATGTTAATATGAAAATGTACTGGTATTCAGTTTGAAATTTTAGTTTTAATATGTGTTAAATTAATGAAAAATACTATTCACATAAATGGAATTCTATCAACAGATATCTACGAAACCAGGTATGCCGCTTATAATCATTTTACATATATCTATAGTTATAAAATCTTATCTATTATGGGAATTTTTCAGTCCATAAAACTATAGTTGGATTTTGGACTTGTGATTATTTTCAAAGTTCATTATTGAAACAAAATGTTAACAATATTCTTAAATTGATCTTACATTTAGAATATTTGTCTATCGTACATGTGTTTAGAAGAATATTGGTTATTCTGAGAAGCAACTAGCAAAAAATTTCATTGATAAATGAAAATTAATTGCAAGAACATGCGACAAAGAGGTAGTTTTTGGTGTCTCATATCCTATGTAATAAAATATAATTAATTGTAGTTAGGTATGAGAAACAAATAATTAAGGAAAATCGAATTTATATATTTTCCTGTTTATTACATTTTAATTTGTAGGTAGTGTCACCGTGGTTAACAATACATGTGTTGAATACAAATACTAGAGGGTCCGGTCAATAGGTACTCTGTAGATTTCAAAGGAAGGTTAGGTGTACTCACCGTCCGCGTCAACTTCGTTGATCATGTCTTGAAGCTCGGCTTCTGTGGGGTTCTGTCCTAGAGATCTCATGACGGTGCCCAACTCTTTGGTTGTGATGGTGCCGTCTCCATCTTTGTCGAACAGTGAGAACGCCTCCTTGAATTCGGCGATCTGTTCTTCTGTCAGTTGATCCGCCTGGAAATAACGGACAAATATTATTTGAACTGCAAATAAATATATTTCTTTTATAATAATAATTAAATTCACATACGGAATTGACGACCATTGTGGACGAGTGTTGTAGACACAAGAAAGTACAGAGCGCGCCAGTTATCAGTTATCGCCCTGATAAGATTACACCGGCGATTATACATAATTACCCAGCCGGCGGCCTCGCCACGTCACACTGCGGTCTTTTACGTTGTAGATACTGAATACTGCATTGCCATTTGTTTATCATTAAACAATAAATATTAACTTCTGATAAAAAACAGTTAATAAACACAGATTGTAGATTTTGAGTAATGCGGGCACATTTATTAACAAATATTGGTCGTGATAAACTAAGCATTAAACAGTAAAATCATAAAAGAATAGTTTAAACTTCTTCAATGTTTTTATTCAAACAATAGAAGAAATCGTTCATAGTGAGAGATGTATTGTTAACTGGATTTTTATTTTATCTTAGTCCCAATATTACAATGCAGTACACAGAACAATTACTGTGTGTAATTCATATTAGATACTACATATAAACAATATATTGTTAATCTATGTCTAATCAATAATAAGATATGCAGGAGTTGAGAAGAGTAATTCCTTCTCTTAACTCCTACATCTGTCTGGCCACACATCGAACCATGGTTATTCCTTGTTACAGTTGATTAAATATTCATTGTTAGACTAAAACAATACCAGAGCTCTTTTCCTGCTGATATCACAGTGAAGGACACAATCATTGCTATAAATAAAACATGACTACAGCTTCTATAACTACACACACCATCAATTATGGAGCGGAAAACATTATTGTTATCTTCAAACAATATCATTTTCACTATATACAATTGTATAGTGACAATAGCTGTATAAACTATTAGGCAAAAAGCCCATAAGGAAATCACAACTCGTACAAATGGGGTACATTACGATTTAATATATTAAATCATTTGTAAGATTAAAAAATATATTATTTATAACAAAGTTCACACAAATTGATGTGACATATAAAGTGGAGAATCAATTTAAAATAATAAAACACCTTTTAAGTGTAGAAGGACATTTTTAACAAACAAACTGAATTTTAGACTAAATCAAACTTCAAAATAAAAAAAATATACAGAAGGTAGTAATCATCAGTCATTTTTATTTTAAGGAAGTGGTATTCAAAACAGGCTTTAAACAAGAAAATGTAATTGTAATAGACAGTCTTCCCATTATTCAAGTATTCATATTTGAATCTGGTTATTTATTGGCAAAACCAGTTAACCTTCAGCGAAAATATTAATACGACGAGTCTGCACAAATTAGAATCACGATCATTTATTAGAAAAAGACAAATGAGAGTCAGCTGTGCCAGGTGCAACGGCTGACTATTGACATACCATCGCGATAAGACAATGCGACCCAGGAGTGGTAAAAAGTCGACAAACCGGGAGCTCTGTGACCGGCGCAGATATATGCAAACCATTTAGCGAATGGCGTATGAAAATATTTGAGCAAGGCGGTGATGAGTCAGTCTACGGGCGTTTGACAGTTGCGCCCGGCCAATCGATCCATCGTCAACAGGGCGCGACTACTAGCCCTAGCACGACTTAACACACAAACCCACTTGTTTTCATAGTACTGACGGTATGTACGCCATTTTAAAGCGTCATCGACGACCGGCTACGAACCAAAACTAACGTCATTTAACCGGCACCACCTACGAAACTATGGCGACGGATGTTTCTCGAGACTTTCTAACGGTCGTTTAGGAAGGCTTAGAAATAATTTAACACTCGCGCATCTTAGGTACGATCCAGATTGAAAGTTTTCTAATTTAATTGCAATGTCAACGTAGTTGCTGACCCGCAATGCGGTAAAAAACGGCCATCACAATAATAGAATGGTGGCCGTCATCACTTAAAAACACCAATGCACCACATCTCGAAAATATACCCCGAAACCGATGCAGAATGATTTCCCGAATGCACTTTCGACACCTTTCAGCAAAAATATCACTCACCATTGTAGATTAACTTGGATTAACAGGAGCTACACTAAAAAATCACAGACTACGCCGCAAAAGCGACCGCTCGGACCGACGGTTGAAACGATACTGTCGCCCTCACTCGCGCGTACGGCCGCGCCGGGAAACTCGCGACCGCGATTCGTTTCGTGCTCGGTCGCGAATCGTTCCGAATCGACTATGAGATACACCGTATTTTCATATCCGTTTCCTGGCGATCGGAATAGTTTTACACGACGGTCGCAGACGTTCCTTTTTAAACACGAATCACTCGAACGTCCAAGTCCATGTCTCGGGACGCACGACACAGGATTAAATTTGATCCGCAAAGGATAGTCGGTTTTATATCGGGGTGGTGCGGCGGCGTGGACTAGCGTTCGGCGCGCGCCGATTGGTCGCCGCGCACCTGCAATGCGTCACTGCGGGGCGCTAGCGGCGGCCGCGGCGCGAGTGGCGAGCGCCGAGCGGCCGCCGGCGGCGTCGGCGGCGGCTCTCGGTGCTCCCGATCACCCGCTGCCCTACTTCGCGGTCGGAGAACAGGGTGCGCCGCAGTGCCGCCCGCAGACGACCGAGCCACCGACGACACGCGCCCGGCGCCGCCCAACGCCCAGCGCAGGCTTCCCGGCGCGGCGTCCGGACGCACACCACACGCACTCATTACAAACATGCACGCCGCGTCGCATTATTGACGCAATACCAGTATTCTGCAACGGTCACACAGTTCACACTGGAATCCACATACATCACTCACGGATCGATTACTATCATTGGATATTTGATCTTACCCTATGAATAGCAAATAAATTAATAACACCCAAATACATACACGAAATAGAATTATCCAGGATACAGAAAGAGGAAAATAATGAATATTGTTAGGTATGTAGGTTATCTACATACCTAACAATATTCTATATAATATATAATAACTCTAAACTGTATAAACTAAGATTATGATTATACCTATGTCTATGGTAATTAAAATAAAATAAAATAGTAAACAATAAACACATACCTACAATAAAACCTTAGATAATAAAAAGTAATACTATTATTGTGTCCTACTATTATTATTATTTCAATATGGCTTAACAGTGTAGTTGGGGAATTGACAATAGATAATTTAATGATTTTAGTGCAAACTTGTTATTTAATAATTTAATATTTTGATGTTTGATTCATACCTTGGTTGATTTAGCGCCTTTCCCAGGTACTTGGCTTTTTACGGCTTTAAATAACTTTCCTTTTTTATCAAATAGAACAAAGGGATTACTAATAGGTTTTATGAGTCCTGTAAACCCATAAATTTCGGGAGTACAAAGAAAAAAACACGAGGCGATTACTGTAATAGAATAGATTTGCATCATCGGTGACTTTGTTAACAAAGAAATGATGAAGCACAATTATACAAATTGTTTTGGCTAGGTTTGTTTTTAAAAATCAACTACAAAGTCGTCAGCTGAAATAACGTAACTATTCTTTTGTTTGAAGCACTTAGAAACGAGGATGAGTTTATGCAATCGAAGAACTTCGTCCTGCGTTTAACTTCTCTTTTATGAATTACGATCATGAACTAAACTTAGCAACAAATTTTATTAATTATGTGGAGCAATATCCATCTGAAATCTGAATTGTAATAAAATTCAATCGTATACGTTTTTACGTAATCGTATACGTTTTTTTTCGGTTCATCTAATATGTATAAATAGGCAGGCGATATGATGCCATAGACAAATATTTAGTTTTTATGAAATCAAACTTCTAAAATTTTTAAACTCTATTAGATATTAATATTTTTACATGTGTTACAAATTAAAAAAAAAATTAACATAATTAATCCACTAGAAATTATGACACACTTTTCTAAAAGATATTTTTTTCTAAAAAAGCAGAAGAATAACGAAATTGTCGATTGGTTTGATCTTATTAGTTTTTTGATGTTGATTTTTGACAGCTAGCAACTTTATGCTCATAAATTACATACGCACAGTGATTACGTAATATTTTTATAATCAATAATTTTTTACAAGCACTAAAAAACGCAACCGCCATCTGTTACCGGATAAGCGCAGTACTAAACGAACAAAGTTTTAATTGAATTAAAAATTTCACATTCAATTTAAAAAATGTAATAAAAATAGTGATCGTTATTGGATTCGCACGCTTGAAATATACCTTCAATTTGCTATATTCTCTACTACCCACAAGTTACATTTTCAGAAAGGTGTTTAAGCGTTTGAGTTGTATCTGAATAAAAATTATGAAATCCGAGACCGCGTTTAGGCGAGGCGTTTTATCAAACGACTTGCTTTTTTTTCAGTAATAAACATTTATGCACAGATTTGTCATCAAGTATTCGAAGTTATCTAACTTCTAACCTTCTCAAGTTATAATCAAACGCAATTTCCCCCGGTACATTTCTTATGTTTTTATTTCGTTTACGGCTTTGCTCCGGAACCAAGAAAACCGCAGAATCTCCGGAGATAATCACATTCACAATAACCGGTTATTAATTTTTAAACAGTTTACATTTTGACTTTAGCTTTTCACTGGACTGATTTTGATGATTTTTTTGAGTAAGCCCTGGTTGATTTAGAATTACAATTGGACACAGTAAGTAGCTCTATAGCAGGCAGGAGAACAATTGTCGGGAGCGACAACTCTCACCAGGTCAAAAATAAACAATCGAAACAAACTTAAAATTTAATTTACAATTTAATTATATAGTGCTGTAAATACACCTATACCTACATACACTTTGTCGCTGTAGAGGTAGCCAGAGACGTGTTGAACGCTCACATTTTGTTGACTATAATTTTGAACCTGTATATTAGGTGGCAAGGCAGATACAAAACGCTGTATGTGATCTAAATTCTTAAAATTATTACATAAGAGTGAATGAAGAGTGAACTTCCTACTGCGCCGAGTGTTGTGGGTTCAAACCCCACATGGGACGACACTTTGTGTGATCCACAAATTGTTGTTCTGAGTCTGGGTGTTCTTTGTGTCCGTTTCATGTATGTTTGTAAAGTCCCACGCGACACAGGATTTATTCCTAATGCGGGCGTTGTCTTTTTAAAAAGAAAAAAAAAGAAAAAAAAGAATTGGTTGTTTCAAATTAGACATTCATGCTTCTAACTTCATTTATAATAAGATCAGAATCAGATAACTATACAAAGTTTAATTTATATGGAGTTCAATTGAAGCACACGAAGTCACAGTCTAAATGGCGTCTTTTAAATGAGTTATATGTGTTTCAATCATGTCAATGATGATCATTCGGAGAATCTCTGGAGTAATCTCATCCGGAGGAAAACCCTGAAATTTGAAATTGTCTTTGGTGTAAAGTTAGTTGACTCGTTCATTTGAGCTTTTACCGAGCTAAATGGCTTAAGTTACAAGAAAGCCAAGATTTACCTCGTAAAATATAATTACTACCATGTTAGTAGGTACTGTACACATTGACATATTCATGTCTTTTGATCCAATGATTTAAAGTCATTTTAGATAATACTTTTTATTGTCACGAGAACTATAAAAGTTTTATCTATTCAACGATTAGTTTCCCACTCGCGGCCATGTTAGATAGAAAACAAATAACAAACAATGCTTCTTTAATGCGATGCGGATCGTTCGGTACGTGGCTAAAATCTCAATAATGGCGACCTTATTGCGAAACATCAGTTCAGTGTTGTCAGATAACCCTTTTTTCCCGCTTTTTCCGTGGTTTTATTTCGACAGTCCAACATAAGTTTTGCTCCTTACAATCATTAGAATAAGAATAGAGATTAGAATCTCTGTATATACTTAATTGTAAATGCATGAATGTACCTAGGCTACCTAAATATACCTAAAGGCAATGATATTTTATGGAAGATGCGTAATACTTATTCATTCATTCATTCATCCCGTGGGTGTCGTAAGAGCCGACTAAGGGAAAAAACTACGCAGGACAACAGCACTGCAGAGAGAAGGAAAACTTGACACAAACCCTTTTTTTATTTTTTTATTTTTTTTTTAACGTGTGGAAATCCCCTCGGACCGTCACCCCTCCGGGGTTTGCGGCGGGGTGGTGTGTCGGACTCGGACCGACTAAAACCACACGGTGTGCCACTCTGCGCCTGTAACAGGAGGGATCCGGGAACAGCTGTTGTTAAGACATCCGGACCCCTCCTAGGGCCAGCCCGCTCCTGGTGCGGGCTCCGTCTCAATATTTTTCCCTCTCTTTATTCGACGTCCGGCACACGCGGACGCCGCCCCCTCGCGGCTGGCCAAACTAATGCGGGTGGAGGGGAAACCCACCCCGTCCACCCGCGGCCACACTCAGGGCGGCATGAGGCTGTGATAGGCGGGCCTCCGCCGCCCGGTTCGCCGGCGGCGGATCGGGTCCGAGTGGAGGTCGTCCTCCCGGGCCCTCTCCGCCGCCTCCTTCCGCGAGATTACTACCTCGCAGAAGGTTGCGACCGCGGTAAAACAACTGTCGCTACCGGCCATGGAGCGTACTACGGCCGGTAGCGAGAGATCCACTCCGATGGCTGCAGTGAGGGCCCGGCGCTGTGCCGCCCATGCGGGGCAGACCGCCAGCGTGTGCTGGGCCGAGTCCTCACTGCAGTCGCAGTGGTGGCAGGCGGGACTCAGTTCCCTCCTAGCGACCGAGTGCAGGTACTTTCCGAAGCAACCGTGCCCGGAAAGCACCTGCGTCAGCCGGAAGGAAAGGGTCCCGTGCTGCCGCCCTGCCCACTCGGCGATGACCGGCTGGAGAGCCTCCACGGCGGCGAAGCCAGCGCGTGTCGTCTTCAGCCGGAACGACCAACGAGCCATCGTGGCTCGGCGAGCGGCTTCGCGCCACTCGCGCACATCCTCGGGCGGAGGGCGAAATCCGCTCTCCGCCCGGGAGTCAGCCACTCGCCGATAAACTTCGGCGAGCACTTCCGCCTCCAAATCCCACGGGGGAGTTCCGGCCAACGCGCATGCCACCTCCGTCGAAACGGTACGGTAACCGCGTATGGCTCTGACCGCCATTACCCTCTGAGGGCGCCAGAGGCGTACCCTATTCTGGGCGGTCAGAGCCGCCGCCCACACCGGTGCACCGTACAGTGCCATTGACCGGACAACCCCCGTGTACAGCCGTCTTGTCGCGACGCTGGGTCCACCCATATTGGGCAAAAGTCGCCCTAGGGCAGACGCAGCGCCGACCAGCTTTGGAGCAAGCTGTCGGAAGTGCTCGTCGAAGAGCCACCTCCCGTCGAGGATCAGGCCCAGATATTTCATCTGGGCCCGAACCGGTACGAGGACCGAGTTGACCACGATTGAGGCGCCAGGGGGTGGACCACGACGGGGCCCATGAAATAACAGGGCCTCCGTCTTATCTAGGGCCACCCGTAAGCCCAGCGCCTCAATGCGCCCGACCACCAGGGAGACTCCCCCTGTGGCCAGGCGCGCCGCCTCTTGGAAGTTTGCCCCCCGGGCTGTCACCAGGGTATCGTCTGCGTAACAGATTACACCCAGCCCGGGGGGGAAATCGGCGCGAAGGGCCCAGTCGTACCCTATGTTCCACAAGAGGGGTCCAAGAACAGACCCCTGTGGAACACCGCACGACATGGGCCGACACCTCAGATTACCTTCTCGGTCCTCGTACACGACGGTACGCTCCTCTAA